ATAAAAACGTCCCTTTCGATTCTCCCTTAAACTCCAACGATGGGGCTACCTACTCCTTAATAGTAGGATAGCATTGTCTAAAGGAAATGAGAAGAAACGAACAACCTTTTTTTCGAGTAGGTAGATAGTTCCTAGGTACTTGCTCAAAAATCTCAAAATCTTTTCACACAAACACTTTCAAAACAGTTTTCAAAAACAACTTCGTCACACTCTTGAGGACATAAACAAGAGTTATCACGAAGCAAAACAATTTTTTTTTCAAAACACACGCACAAAGCAATTTCAAAATGAGCAACGTGCTTAAGAGCCCATGGAAAATCACAGATAGAAAGGGTGCTAATACCTTCCCTTTCTATAATCTACCCCCTTACTCAGAAATCTCTCGAAAAAGGTTTTTTTTTCTGTTCTTTTTTTACCTTTCCTTTGTTAGATAAAATAAAAGACGGTCGCGACTGTTGCTTACCGCACATTTGCGAATGGAAACGCAAAACCAGTATTAACAGTCGGTTTTACCACCGTATTTCACTAACATTTACCTCTTTCGATTCTGGAAAGTCCCACACACTTTTGTTCCCCTTCGAATCTAGCAAGAAAGACACTTCATTTTCTCTCTCTTTTGAATCCAGCATCAAAGGCCTAACCTCTGGTCCCTCCCTTCGAATCCAGCAACATTCAAGAAAACCACTTCAAGGTCCAGCACACCCTCCAACCTCCAGCAAGAAAACAAGAAGTAAAGAATGAAGCCTTAGGCTTCCACATTAACCTCCAGGTCAAACGAAAGAGGCAACCAGAAGGCACACCATGCTGACTTCCAAGCCCAAACGAAAAGCATGCCTACACTGACTTCCAGGCCCATTGGAAAGGCACAACATGCTGACCTCTAGACCCCAATCGAAAGGCACAACATGCTGGACCCCCAGGCCTCAGTCGAAAGCCACGCCCTCATCCCTTTTAGACCTAATCGAAGGAATCCAGAAAGTGCATAATTGAAGGGTCTTCTGCCTCAATCGAAATACCTTCATTTTTCTTGCTTTTATTTCATTTTTGCCTTTATATTTTCATTCACTTCAATATGGTTGTAATAGCGTAGGATTTTATCTTTCTTCATTTTATTACCTTTATATAAATGTTAGTAATTTGGATGTATGGCAAGATAAAACCAACAAGTAGACAACCCATAATTAAAGACTAAATACATGCAAACCAAACACACTATTCACACATGCACCTCTAGGGTTAACTCCACTTGTTGCCTAAAAATGGTCATGTTATGCATGTGAGACGTCTTAGCAAAAACAATCAAAATACAAGATTATAATCCCTCGATGGCGCTTTAAATGTTGCCTTACAAATGATCTTAGTCCCTCAAGAGAAATGCTAAGATATCTCACAACATGGCTATCATGACTATACGCTGACCCACGCCCGTCCCTTCACATCCAATGATGAGGCTTCTTACCAAATCAATGGTAAGATAGCAACATCTAAAGGAGGAGGAAAAGAACATTTAAGACCTTTTGAGTAGGTAGGATGCTCCTAGTTGCTCGCTTGCTCACAACAAAAACATTTTATACACCAACACTTTCATTTTGAAACATTTTCAAAAGACAACGCTTTGTATGCATTCTTATAGAAACGAGAACCATTACAAATAAACCCTTTTCAAAATCACTTTCCAAAACACATTACACAAACACTTATTTGAAATATTTTCCAAATAAACACTTTGTATGCGTTCTTATAGAAACGAGAATCATTACAAAGGCACGTTTTCAAAATAATTTCAAAACCATACCACAAAGCACACTTGCAAACAAAAGCAAGTGATCTAGCAAGCAACTAAGAGCCCATAGATAACTATGGATGAAAAGGGTGCTAACACCTTCCCTTTTCATAATCTACCCCTAAACTCAAGAAATAATCTCAAAAGGTATTTCCTGTTCTTTTCAGCCTTTCCTTTTGGATAAAAGAAAAGTCGGTGGCGACTCTTGCTAACTGCAACAATTGCGATCAAACGCAAAACATTTCAAATTAGTTCTCCCACCGTGTTACACTTGGTAACTTTTTTTAACCCTTATTTTCTTATTTCCAACCCTAAATTCACCAAACAAAAACTATTTTTTAACTAATTAATTTTTCTAAAAAAAACCTTTTCACAAACCCTAATCAAAATTAGGGTTTAGTTTTTGTTTAATTAAATTTTTTATTATTTTTTAAAATTAAAATTAATTAATTTTTTTAGGTTTTAATTAATTAATCAATCTAGGTTATTAGGTTAATAATCAAACCTTTTTATTAAGAATATCTCCAAAAACAATTTCCTTCTCCTTTCATTTTCCTATCTTAGATTTTCGCTTAGTTTATTCTTTTTGCATTTTTTATGATAATGTAACTACTCATGGTTTGTAGTAGATAATTAGGATTCTACTTTTCCCCGCATTTTATTACTTGTACCCCCCATTCCCGAAGCCATGTAATAGCGTAGGAACATTTACTTTTTGTACTTTATTGCTTTATTATTTTCACTATTACTGTAAGTGTAATACGGTGGGAGAATTGACTTGGGTGTTTTGTGTTTTATCACAATTGTTGCGGATAGCAAGATTCGCCACCGACTTTTCTTTTATCCAATAAAGGAAAGGGTGAAAAGAACAGGAAAGACCTTTTGAGAATTTTCTAGAGTTCGGGGGGTAGGTTATGAAAAGGGAAGGTGTTAGCACCCTTTTCATCTGTAGTTATCTATGGGCTCTTAGTTTCTATCTCACTTTGAAATATGTTTGTGATGTTTTTTGAAAGCATTTTTGAAAAGTGCCTTTGTTTAGGCAAACTTTTATAATGATTCTCGTCTCTATAAGAATGCATACAAAGTGTTGACTTTTGAAAATATTTCATTTGAAAGTGTTGGTGTATTTTGAAAGATGTTTTGAAAATGGTTGTGAGCAAGCAACTATGAACGTTATACCTATTCAAAAAGTCTTAGTTCTTTTCCTCCTCCTTTAGATATTGCTATCTTATCATTAATTGGTAAGAAACTCTATCTTTGGATGTGAGGGGACGGCGTAGGTCGTCGTACATTCATAGAAGACAACATTGTAAGATACCTTAGCAATTCATCTTAAGGGTCTAAGATCGTTTTTCGAAGGCAACATTGAAGGGTCATCAAGAGACTGAGATCTTGTATTCGAGGGTCTTTGCTAAAGTATCCCACGTTTGAGGGACATGGCTGTTTATTCGTAGGCAACAAGTGTGGGTTACCTTAAAGGTGCGTCTGTGAATTGTGTTTTCATTGCATGCATTTTTGTCTTGAGATTATGGTTCTCTAAGATTGATTTTATTTTTCCATACACACCGTAATTACTAACGATTATATTAAAAGAGATAAATTGCGAAAATTAAAGTCCTACACTATTACATCATTTAGGGGATGGGGATACAAATTATAAATGGGGATGAAAGAAATTAAAACCTAATTACTATTACAACCAAATTGAACAAAAAGTCTCAAAATCAAGAATTTTGGTGTTTAAGCTGACACAGGTCGTGTCCTGTGACACGGTGTAACGGTGAAAATCGGAGATCAAGCTATTAATTAACTTGACTTGCAAAAGCAAGAGTCGCCACCGCGCTTTATTGTTTCCAAGGGAAAAGGGAAAAGAGCGAAATAAAACCTAAAATATGCAATGTAAAATAATACTCAAAAGGTAATAAAAATACAATGCGTTTTTTGAAAGAGATCGAGAGTTCGGGGGTTGGTTATACAGTGGGAAGGTATTAGCACCCAATGCATCTGCGGTACTCCGCAGGAACCTTTTGAAATATCTGTTTTTTGGTTTAAAATTGTTTGTTTGATTAAAACGGTTCGTTTGGCTAAAAATCGGTGTTGGAGAGATTTTGAAGAGACAGTGACCTAATGTCGGAGTTTTGACTTAAAAGGTGTGAGTTTAAAAATGGAGTCTTTTGGAAGAATTATCTTAAGTTTGGAAAAATAGTAAACAACGGAAAAATGAATGAGGCTATTCGCACGATTGTAGAAGACGTATTTGATGACGTGAAGTCAACAAATTTAAATCTTTTCCTTGGAGTAAGCAAAATAAAATGAACATCAAAATATAAACATTCAGAAGTTCACAAGAAAATAAATCTGACAAAAAAAACAAATTAATGGTCAAGAGGCACCGAGAAATTGAAATGACAGAAATATACAAATAAAAAGGAATATAACTAATTATCAAAAGAAGTTATTAGAACTAAATTAAAAATTACTTATTAAAATAATTCCGAACTAATTACAAATTCTAAGGTTATAAAAAAAAATCTAGTATTATTGAATTTGATCTAAACTAAACTAAGGCTTTAAAATTTAGTAAGTTAAATCTAGATTAAATTAAAATCCTAAGGTTACTAAATTAGATCTAAAACAAATGAAAATTTCAAAGTTACTAAACTAAATCTAAATCAAATAAAATTCTAAAACTACTAAACTAAATTTAAATCAAATAAAAACTCTAAAGTTATTAAACTAAATAAAAATTATAAATTTATTAAACTAATTCTAAAAGAAAAATTCTAAAGTCACTAAACTAAAACTAAACAAATAAAATTCTAAAGTTAACTTAATCAAATAAAATTCTAAAGTTATTAAACTAAAACTAAACAAATAAAATTCTAAAGTTAACTTAAATAAAATCAAATAAAATTCTAAAGTTATAAAATAAATCTAAACTAATTAAAGAATTCTAAATTAATATTAAACTAAATTATTTATAAGATTTATTAATATATATTTTTTTTACGTGTGATACTCTAATCTCTAAATAGGAACTTTTTTTTAAAAGTTGAGGTACAATTAAACTTAAACCTAAGATATCACAAACACACACACAATCCACTTACTTGAAATTCAGAGTATGAAAGTACACACAATCACTTATTTAACTCAAGAGTATGAAAGTAGTAAAAGTAAAGGTATACAATTCCTTACAGAAACGGACATGCATCTTCTAATCACCACCGGCATGCTTGAACTCTTGAAATTCTTTAAAATTCAGCCATGGTTTGACCCATACTTGAGCTTCATAGATCTTCTTCTCACCCGCATCAACAGCCTCAATCGTAAGGTGATGCAGTGTACCAACAACAACCTGTTCCCATGTTTTGACCATCCTTGTAAACTCCAGAAGAGAATTCTGTTTGGTGTTGTGTTGATCGACGGCAAATCGAGTAAGGGATTCGATTTCGGCCGAGTTTTGAGAACCGGGGGAATCAGAGACGCCTCCTACTTTGGTAGCCATTTGTGATCGAAATCGGAGCAGTCTCACGAAGAAGAATGAGTTGGTTTGGAATTGGAATAAGGTTGGTATGTTGAAGGGAGATGGAGTATGCTGGGTTATGTGAAGAGGGTTTTGTGTGGGTTGCGGTTGTAGGACGCAGGGAGTATGTTTGAACAGTGGGTAATGGCTTGGATTGAAGGAGTAATACGTTTTTATTGTTATTAACGATTGCAGAATTGGGTATTGTTGGCGAAGACTGTGACGGGATTTGGAGGTTGGAGTTATGTTATGTTGAAATTAGAGGAGGAGATAGAGGAATTAGCTCGCGGAATAGAGGGCAGAGAAATAAAAGTTGGGAGAGGGAATGGGTTTGTGATGAAGAGGAGTTAGTTTGGGTTAGAGGACAATAGCAGCTAGGAATTGATGGATAAGGGATTTGTACAGTAGGTGGAAGGAATAGTGAGAGATGAAAGTGAGCTAGCTACTGTAAGTTGCTTTTTTGTTGTGTGATGTGTCCCCCTTTGCAAAGAAAAAATGAAGCCTTTAAATAGAAAAAGAATAGAAATATTATGATTATAGATCAAATCCAATCAGTCCAAAATTGTTAGATCCGCATCTATCCGTAACTCATGCCATCAACCAATAAGAATTAAGCAACGTCTAAATAATATATTTTTGTGACCAAAATGTCCTTTAATGATAAAATAACCAAAAAAACTAAATGTATTGAAATTAACTCAATTTAAAATGATTTTTTTGAATATTTTATGAATAAAAAATAAAGAGCTAAAATGACCGAAAACAATAAAAAAACGGACGAAAATTTATCCAAAAAAATAAAATGTACACATTAAAATAAAATACATCTCACAAAGATTAAATAATAATATTCAAAAAGTCGAAATCAAAATAAAATGATAATAATAAAAATATCAGGCTGAACAGACGTTTACGGTTAAAAACGAGACTTCAAACTATACCGAAAAAATAAAGCGAGCATACCGTCATAATCTACACGAAACGCAGATTCATAAAATGATCGGTAAAAGGTGAAAACTTGAAATATTTTCTCGTTAATTTTCCACACAGTGTCGAACCGCTTTTAACACTTTGTCTATAAAACCGAAATATTTTTATTATCGACATATAAACCACTTGGAGCAATGCAAGAAAATAGTAAACAGATAAAAATGAATGAAATGAAATGTCGGGTATTTTACAACTGAAAGACGATGCAAACTTTGATTTAAAACTGACTTTTTCTGGTCAACTTAAATACGACTAATGATGCAAAATGTGATGAATGAAGATATTTACTAATGATTGTGACCAAATAACAAAATATGATATGAAAGTGCGACTAAAACATATTAGGGGCGAAATTAAGGGTGCAACGGTTGTGCCTTGATGAATCAGTCTTCGAGAATCCACAATCAACCGTACTTCGGGCTTGGGGGACTCAAAACCTTAATTGAGGCGCGACACCTGATGCTCTTGATTCAGACCTGTCTCTGCACATGACACAAAAGAAAACATGAACATACACCTTTGTATGCGATTAGAAATTAGTGATGCATAGGCTAAAAATGTTCAAAACACTTGACAATCTTCGCATAGTCAAAGCTCGAAGGTGAGACGTTAAAACCGACCGTATTTCGTGACCTTGACTTATCTTAAATAATGCAAAAATAAAAATGGGATCTTAGGTCAAAAATTGGGGTACAACAGCTGCCCCTATTTAAGTTTCTTCTATCTGGAGATATGAAGATTGGGATCTTCATTTCGACGAGATTGAAGGGACTTAAATATAGAATACACAATTTTTGGCCTTAAGATACCGCGATTATGTTTACGATATGATATGAATGTGATGTTTTGAATTTCATGGGGAATGATGCCATATGAGACAGACTATGCTGGAGAAACCAAGCACATTATACAGTAATCCCACAGAGGAAGAGGTTGTAACTCCACTGGGGAAACAAAGTCATAGACTTCAAATGAGAGACTCTTGAATGATTTACATCAGCACTGTGACTGGAAAAGGAAATGATGGACATCAGTACTGAGACTGGAAAATGATTGACATCAGCACTGTGGCTGGAAAACAAAATGATTGACATCAGCACTGTGGCTGGAAAACAAAATGATTGACATCAGCACTGTGGCTGGAGATAAACATCTCTGATTTCTGAATTTTACCAAGAACGGTAACACATTTCTTCTTTAACCAAGATATCGCTTGAAAAGGATAAAATAACAAACTTCCCCATGGGACTTTTCCGAAAGGGATGCCATTTGCTGAGTAGACATTATTGTTGTGGATACACAAGCTGCTCAAATAAAGAGGCCGCCACTTGCTTCCTTTCAAAGGTGTCAATAACATACAAGCTGCTCATGAAGAGACCGCCACTTGCTGTCTTCAAAGAATATTAAAGCACACAAGCTGCTCATGAAGAGTCCGCCACTTGTTGCCAAAAACCCACAAGCTGCTCCTAAAGCTGCCACTTGCTGTCTTCAAAGAATATCAAAGCACACAAGCTGCTCATGAAGAGTCTGCCACTTGTTGTCTTCCAAAAATACTAACGTACAAGCTGTTCATGAAGAAGCTGCCACTTGCCGTTTTCAAAAAAAGTGTTGATAACATACAAGTTGTCCATGAAGAGACTGCCGCTTGCTGTTTCTTTTCAAAATTACCAATAACACACAAGATGCTCATGAAGAGACCGCCGCTTGTTGTTTTCTTTTCAAAATTACCAATAACACACAAGCTGCTCATGAAGAGACCGCCGCTTGTTATTTTCTTTTCAAAATTACCAATAACACACAAGTTGCTCATGAAGAGACCGCCGCTTGTTGTTTTCTTTTCAAAATTACCAATAACACACAAGTTGCTCATGAAGAGACCGCCGCTTGTTGTTTTTAAAGGTGACAATAACAAACAAGTTGCTCATGAAGAGACTGTCGCTTGCTGTTTCTTTCAAGGTATCAATAACATACAAGTTGCTCATGAAGAGACCGCCGCTTGATGTTTTTCAAGAGAAAAAATAACACACAAGTTGCTCATGAAGAGACCGCCGCTTGCTGTTTGTCAAGAGTATCCATAGCATACAAGTTGCTCGTGAAGAGACCGCTGCTTGCTGTTTGTCAGGAGTATCCATAACACACAAGTTGCTCATGAAGAGACTGCCGCTTGTTGTTTCCCAAAAAGATACCCATAAAATATCGTGAAGATATTGCTGGAGGTGAGAACCAATAATTTCATCGGGGATGGACAAACTGCTCATGAAGTGACCGCCATTTGTCGTAGAGAAATCAGAAATAATCAAACTGCTCAAATAAAGAGTCAGTCACTTGTTGTCATGTCGATATTCCAGAAGAAGGTGGTGATAACACTACTGGGGAATAAAGTTCATCTTAAATGGGGAACCATGAATAAATCCTTCTTGAGGAGACCAAGTATTTACGTTGCAAAAATAAATGCACTCTCCATCTAGGTTTCACAGCCTAGAGAGATCCACAGGGTATCGTTCACAAGAGACAAAGCTCAATCCAGGAATAAACTGGAGAGAAAAATAGTCAAACAAGACTCCACCCAATGAGGAAACAACTCAAATGGGGATTTATCCTATCCAGAGATGGAAAAGGAAAGCTAAAGCAAGATTCTTCCACGAGAGTTAACTCAGTGGGGAATTAGAAAAGAGGCGCACTTTTTGCTTAAGTTGACACTCTATTTGGAAAGATCAAATATGCTATTTGAATAGACATAACCAAGGTATACGAACTCAAAGATATCAACAAATACAAATGTGCGTGCATGATGCAAGTATGAACGAATGAATGAATGTCATGTATATGTTGACAAAACAGACAGGGGAGATAGACTGAAGATGATAAGACGTCATAGTACAGCTCGACACTCGGCTAATCTCAACAGGATGGGAACATTACTGGAGATAAAACACAGGCCATCATTGGAGCAAGGTCCTTTTACAAGGCTGAAATATCTCTGGAGAGGAAGATATTTTCAGGTAGAAAACCCAAAGTCTAGTCTTCTATTGCAAACAATCCATTGAAAGGATAACAACACAAACAAAGTTTCAGTTGGAAAGAAGTCTTGCCTAGCTGGAGATACTGGGAACACCACCCTCTGATAATGTATGAAAAACATATCTTGACAAATCTGGATTGCCCCTGGGATTAATTTTGGATGCCCCAAGTTTACTGCTGATAAACTGCATGTTGCACGACAATTCTTGCGAATAACTTCACTTCTAAAATGCCCCAAGCTATATGGTTGATAAGAAGAAATCGTCTCAAGAGGATTTTACAAAAGACCTGGCATTCACCATGCTCTGGTGTCTTCAAACTCTTAGAGAGATTCATCGAATCTCGACGTGATTGCCCCGGATTGACTGTAGTTGGCACAACAGAGTCTTCGAATTTTTTTTTGCCCCAAACAAGCAAACAAGTTGGGAAAATCATTAACTGGGAGAAGCAACATGTTCGTGCTTAAGGTCTTTAGGTGACATGCCCCTGGATATGATTTTTTTTGAAATGATTCTCCAATTACTCAACAGAGTTTCAGGCCTTAAGAACTGACTCATCATTGGTGCTTATATGTGAGTTTCCTTGATATCAAACAAATGTTTTGCAGTTAGAAAATTTTATTATGAGAATGAAAATTCTAATGCAACAGTTATGTAAGTCTTGAAGATTTTGAAAAGATATCGCACAAATTTTGCGAGTTAAAGCACCATTTATTTTTGTATAGGAAAAACATATGATACCAACATAACTATTTAGAACATTCATGGGAGTCAGGAACACTATCTCATTGAAGTATGCTTTCAAAATAACCTTGCTTCAATTAGGACTTTTGAAGGTTGTAACGTGGTCTGGTTCATGGTTTTTAGAAAAAAGATTTTAAGGCTAAAAATATTTGGTGCCCACCCATTCTTCATGATGTTCTCCAATCTTATGTTCAGTTAATTCAACATGAGTGTTCATCTCTCAAAAGGATTTTGTGACGGTCAGGGAAACGACGAGGCTTTCGGAGTAGAAACCACCCTCATGTCTTCGTGTTTGTAGTCACCAATTTGTTCTTTGCTGAGGACTTTTCTTTGCGGTCCTTTTCTTTGCAATTTTTATTTTCCCTAACTTTTGCCTGAACTAATTCTTTTGAATTGATAGTCCAGCGGGATGCCTTAATTTTTCCTAAGTCACACGTTTTCATGTTTTTTGACTTAGCTGGCTTTTTCTTTTTCTCGATTTTTGACTTTTTGAACAAAATGTGTGACATTAGCTTGTATTTGCTTGTTGAGAAGATTGTGATTGCCTCGTTTCTTGATGAATAAGGGATAACATTGTGGTTCCACATCCTCTAGATTCATTATACATGAAGGATGGTCCTCGTAGTTTCTCTTCAAAAAACATCTTCCTTATGAATTTTGAACACTCAATCAGATTAACTGAAAACTACCCTGCCCCAGGTTAAAATTTGAGGGTTTTTCGTATAAAAAAGAAACTCCTGCTTCAAAGGCTCAAAAGGGGTTAGCAAGGGATTATCTTCCTTATATCTCCAGTGTTTAGGGATTTGAAACAATGCCTGTACATCATCAGCAAGATTTTATCCAAAAGCAAACAACCAGAGATTTTGTGTTCTTTAGATCATCATCCTCCCTTCAATCTCTGCCTAGGAAAGAGAATGAGCAACAATTTGGTATCATAATGCCAAAAGAAATTTAAAATTTGAAAAGAAATATGAGTGAAACGAATGAATTTCTTCAAGACAAACATACTCATTGTACTAAGATAATCATTCAGATGCAAACAAGTTCTTACATGCAAACAATGTTTTGATAAACAAGAAAAATTACAAAAAGCATAAATAAGTTAATGATCGGGGAAGGCTTTCCATCTGGACTTGAATCACCGAAAACATCCTTCAAAACTCAAAGTGACCATCAATCGTGTTTACTCTTCGGCACATGCTTGATTTGAACTTCAAAACCAACGTCCTTGAATGACAAGATACCACTTCTGACCAACTTCTGAACCTCGATCTTCAAAGCAAAGCAACCCTCCAAGTCATACCCAGGAGCACCTTGATGAAAGGTACAAGTCAAATCAGCTTTGTAGTACCAATGTATCTTCTCAGGAACCTTCAGTGGAGGTCGGGTCTGAACCAAATTCCTCTGCATCAGGATAGGGAACAACTCTGTATAGGTAATTGGAATTGGATCAAACTGGGTTTTCCTCTGATTAGGAACTTGCTGATTCTGTTGATGAATAAGAGAAACGTGATGATTCTGACGATGACTATTTCTTCCTATGGTTCTCTTCTTGGAAAAGTCATTATCAAACTTCTTCACACCATTAGCTGAGCTACCATCTTCATATGAACATCCCTTCCCAACGTCTTCTTCTAGACGCACTCCCACATTCACCTTGTCAGGAAAGTCATTAGGTGCATTAACCATCACCTTCTCATGAGAGAATGATTTTAGAGTTTCAGTGAAGACTTTTATCATCGCTTCGTCCCTCCTAGAAGGATTGACTTGGGCAGCAACCAGAATTTCGACCAAACCAGTTAAGCGCTCCACACTAGCTTTCAAATTAGTCATCTCTCTACGGAGTTCAGAAACCTCTTGCTTGATATTCTCCATTGTTCTCTTAGCGCGAGTGTTGTACTGGTGAGACCAAAGGAAAAATACGACTCGGAAAAAGACCTTTGAAAGTGAAACAAAAAATGTAGAATGATGTATGACATGCAAAAGAGAGTTTTTATTTGACTTTCAAGGAACTCAAGATATTAAGTTGTAAACATCAAAGTGTGAAGATAGAAAATGAATTTTGAATTGGATCAAAGCGTTGATCAAGTTATCATCAAGATCAATCATCCATTTTGGTGGATTAGGGTTTTCACCCTATCAACACCCAAGATCCATTGAGCTTGATGAAACTTGTGATATCTACAAAGAAAGACCTCCAAATTCCTTGAAAGTCAAGTGAAAAGGGTTTTATGGATGCATGAATGCATGGCTATGCAACAACCATAAGCAAGGTCACAAATAAAGTCGAAAGGTTCAACGTCACGAGCATGAAGTCAAAGGTAAGGAACACCCCCAAGGTATGTAATAACGGTTTAATCACACCTGTAGAACAAGGTTCTAAGAGTTCCCGGAGTCTACATTCCTCCTTCGGATATTACCAACGTCTTGATTACTCAGTAATCAGCAATATTCTCAAGAGAAACTCATCCGAGCGTAGCATCGCGTAACAATCACTTCCGGATTACTCCGTTATAACCTCCGCGCTACACCTAAAAGGCCAAGATGGGTTAAGGGTTCTACGGTTCTCAGCTTCTTTGACTCCCAGGTCGAAAATAATAATGTCTTCCCGATTACTCGGTAAACAAATATTACATTCAAAAGGGCCTTCCACTGAGTGGGGGATTTCATGCCTCCTTCTTCGGGATAACTCCCTCAAAGTTAACATGACTATACCGCCCGTCCTATTCCTAAGTGTAACTTAGTCCGGGTATAGGACTTGTCCTTTGTAAATATTATCAACACCCAAATAATCATAATATATACATATAATCAAACAATCAAATAATGATAAAACAGATAAAACAAATTAGGCTTAACCCACTTAGGAATGGACAATCAAGAGGTCAATCTTTCCCCAGCAGAGTCGCCAATTCTGTAGCGGTGAAAATCGGAGATCAAGCTATTAATTAACTTGACTCGCAAAAGCAAGAGTCGCCACCGCGCTTTATTATTTCTAAGGGAAAAGGGAAAAGAGCGAAATAAAACCCTAAAATATGCAATGTAAAATAATACTCAAAAGGTAATAAAAATACAATGCGTTTTTTGAAAGAGATCGAGAGTTCGGGGGTTGGTTATATAGTGGGAAGGTATTAGCACCCAATGCATCTGCGGTACTCCGCAGGAACCTTTTGAAATATCTGTTTTTTGGTTTAAAATTGTTTGTTTGATTAAAACGGTTTGTTTGGCTAAAAATCGGTGTTGGAGAGATTTTGAAGAGACAGCGACCTAATGTCGGAGTTTTGACTTAAAAGGTGTGAGTTTGAAAATAGAGTCTTTTGGGAGAATTATCTTAAGTTTGGAAAAATAGTAAACAAGCGAAAAATGAATGAGGCTATTCGCACGATTGTAGAAGACGTATTTGATGACGTGAAGTCAACAAATTTAAATCTTTTCCTTGGAGTAAGCAAAATAAAATGAACATTAAAATATAAACATTCAGAAGTTCACAAGAAAATAAATCTGACAAAAAAAACAAATTAATGGTCAAGAGGCACCGAGAAATTGAAATGACAGAAATATACAAATAAAAAGGAATATAACTAATTATCTAAAGAAGTTATTCGAACTAAATTAAAGATTACTTATTAAAATAATTCCAAACTAATTACAAATTCTAAGGTTATAAAAAAAATCTAGTATTATTGAATTTGATCTAAACTAAACTAAGGCTTTAAAATTTAGTAAGTTAAATCTAGATTAAATTAAAATCCTAAGATTACTAAATTAGATCTAAAACAAATGAAAATTTCAAAGTTACTAAACTAAATCTAAATCAAATAAAATTCTAAAACTACTAAACTAAATTTAAATCAAATAAAAACTCTAAAGTTATTAAACTAAATAAAAATTATAAATTTATTAAACTAATTCTAAAAGAAAAATTCTAAAGTCACTAAACTAAAACTAAACAAATAAAATTCTAAAGTTAACTTAATCAAATAAAATTCTAAAGTTATTAAACTAAAACTAAACAAATAAAATTCTAAAGTTAACTTAAATAAAATCAAATAAAATTCTAAAGTTATAAAATAAATCTAAACTAATTAAAGAATTCTAAATTAATATTAAACTAAATTATTTATAAGACTTATTAATATATATTTTTTTTACGTGTGATACTCTAATCTCTAAATAGGAACTTTTTTTTAAAAGTTGAGGTACAATTAAACTTAAACCTAAGATATCACAAACACAAACACACACAATCCACTTACTTGAAATTCAGAGTATGAAAGTACACACAATCACTTATTTAACTCAAGAGTATGAAAGTAGTAAAAGTAAAGGTATACAATTCCTTACAGAAACGGACATGCATCTTCTAATCACCACCGGCATGCTTGAACTCTTGAAGTTCTTTAAAATTCAGCCATGGTTTGACCCATACTTGAGCTTCATAGATCTTCTTCTCACCTGCATCAACAACCTCAATCGTAAGGTGATGCAGTGTACCAGCAACAACCTGTTCCCGTGTTTTGACCATCCTTGTAAACTCCAGAAGAGAATTCTGTTTGGTGTTGTGTTGATCGACGGTGAATCGAGCAAGGGATTCGATTTCGGCCGAGTTTTGAGAACCGGGGGAATCCGAGACGCCTCCTACTTTGGTAGCCATTTGTGATCGAAATCGGAGCAGTCTCACGAAGAAGAATGAGTTGGTTTGGAATTGGAATAAGGTTGGTATGTTGAAGGGAGATGGAGTATGCTGGGTTATGTGAAGAGGGTTTTGTGTGGGTTGCGGTTGTAGGACGCAGGGAGTATGTTTGAACAGTGGGTAGTGGCTTGGATTGAAGGAGTAATACGTTTTTATTGTTATTAACGATTGCAGAATTGGGTATTGTTGGCGAAGACTGTGACGGGATTTGGAGGTTGGAGTTATGTTATGTTAAAATTAGAGGGGGAGATAGAGGAATTAGCTCGCGGAATAGAGGGAAGAGAAATAAAAGTTGGGAGAGGGAATGGGTTTGTGATGAAAAGGAGTTAGTTTGGGTTAGAGGACAGTAGCAGCTAGGAATTGATGGATAAGGGATTTGTACAGTAGGTGGAAGGAATAGTGAGAGATGAAAGTGAGCTAGCTACTGTAAGTTGCTTTTTTGTTGTGTGATGTGTCCCCATTTGCAAAGAAAAAATGAAGCCTTTAAATAGAAAAAGAATAGAAATATTATGATTACAGATCAAATCCAATCCGTCCAAAATTGTTAGATCTGCATCTATCCGTAACTCATGCCATCAACCAATAAGAATTAAGCAACGTCTAAATAATATATTTTTGTGACCAAAATGTCCTTTAATGATAAAATAACCAAAAAAACTAAATGTATTGAAATTAACTCAATTTAAAATGATTTTTTTGAATATTTTATGAATAAAAAATAAAGAGCTAAAATGACCGAAAACAATAAAAAAACGGACGAAAATTTATCCGAAAAAATAAAATGTACACATTAAAATAAACTACATGTCACAAAGATTAAATAAAAATATTCAAAAAGTCGAAATCAAAATAAAATGATAATAATAAAAATATCAGGCTAAACAGACGTTTACGGTTAAAAACGAGACTTCAAACTATACCGAAAAAATAAAGCGAGCATACCGTCATAATCTACGCGAAACGCAGATTCATAAAATGATCGGTAAAAGGTGAAAACTTGAAATATTTTCTCGCTAATTTTCCGCACAGTGTCGAACCGCTTTTAACACTTTGTCTATAAAACCGAAATATTTTTATTATCGACATATAAACCACTTGGAGCAATGCAAGAAAATAGTAAACAGATAAAAATGAATGAAATGAAATGTCGGGTATTTTACAACTGAAAGACGATGCAAACTTTGATTTAAAACTGACTTTTTCTGGTCAACTTAAATATGACTAATGATGCAAAATGTGATGAATGAAGATATTTACTAATGATTGTGACCAAATAACAAAATATGATATGAAAGTGCGACTAAAACATATTAGGGGCGAAATTAAGGGTGCAACGGTTGTGCCTTGATGAATCAGTCTTCGAGAATCCACAATCAACCGTACTTCGGGCTTGGGGGACTCAAAACCTTAATTGAGGCGCGACACCTGATGCTCTTGATTCAGACCTGTCTCTGCATATGACACAAAAGAAAACATGAACATACACCTTTGTATGCGATTAGAAATTAGTGATGCATAGGCTAAAAATGTTCAAAACACTTGACAATCTTCGCATAGTCAAAGCTCGAAGGTGAGACGTTAAAACCGACCGTATTTCGTGACCTTGACTTATCTTAAAAAATGCAAAAATAAAAATGGGATCTTAGGTCAAAAATTGGGGTACAACACACGGGCACCCGTGTCAGGGCCCTGTAATAATCATGCATGTCTTTTTTTCGTCCCAGCTGATCTGACACGGGCTGTGTCCTATGACACAGGCACCCATGTCAGGACCCTGTCCTACCACTTTGTCAAGTTTTAAATCCCAGTAAGAGGGACATGGGCCGTGTCTTGTGACACGGGCACTTGTGTCAGAACCATGCCCTACCATTTTGTCCAGTTTTCTCCCAGTAAGAGGGACACGAGTCGTGTCCTGTGACACGGGCACCCGTGTCAGAACCCTACCTTGCCATTTTGTCAAGTTTTCTCCCTGACACGGCTTGTGTCAGGCTTCTAGAAGCACTTTTTGTGGTTTTGAATGTTTGCAACTCTTCTACTCTTTTGTCCTGTTTTATTATTTTGAAAATGAAAGCAAAATGATGTATGAACATGGATATCAAAGTTTGAGAAAACTTACCTCTTGAAGTGAAAACTCAAAATGTGTATGGATGTTTCAAGTTGCAATGTGATGATTGATTGAGCTTCCTTAGACCTCCCTGAAGTTGTTTCAATCCTTACTTTATGCTGAAAGTGTTTGGGTTTCTCCAACCAAGTCAACTTACAAGACAATGTTTTTGAGTTTGGAAGGTGGTGGTAATGATGTTACAGAAGTTGTTCTTGTGTTTGAACAACTTCTATATGATGTATGTGAAGTATTGGGATGGTTTGTTTGAGGAAAACTTGCAAGGTATGAGATTCAAAGATTTGGACTTCAAAGCTCAAAATAGAGGTTTTTTGTGGATAATTATGGTTTTTTGTGAGTGAAGAGATTTTGAGAATTTGTCTACATAAATAACTTCTGGCCTTTAGCTTGAAAATGGCCTCTCTATTTATAGAGGAGGTTTAAGAGAGTGAGAGAGTTTGTTTCACAAGCTATGAAAATTCTGGTTTGGTTGAGATGAAACAACCAAGTTATGTGAAGTTTGAGGTCCCAATGCATGGTACAAAAGGGATTTGAAGTGGATAGGAGTTTTTAGGCATGTTGCTTCTTGATTTGAAATTGTGTGTGCAGAAAAAACAGTTGAGAGGCTCAAGGAGAGCTGACTTTATATAAAGCATGCTTTATGTGAATGACAATAGTGCCTTTGTGCCATAAATGGAATGATGCAATGGACAATGCTTGAATCACTTGGATAATGGTTCAATCAATTGTGTAAACATCTGATTATGGATAGATTTGCAAGTCAAAAGGCCTGCAAAGTAAGATTATGCAGCATGGCATAAAGATTTTGTTACATGTTCTTCAACAAAATGACTTGTAATTCAAGAATGGATGCCCAACTTCAGGCCCTTGAATCTCCTAGCTCGAGTATGATAAATTCATGCTCTTGGATGATTTAGAAAGCTTGAAACATCATCTATAACTTTCATGTTTGCCATTTTGACAAAATAATCTTGGAACTATGTGAAAAAATGACAAGAAGTTGGGATAAAATCTTGACCAAAATCTGTTGAAAATTTCTCTAAGTGTTAGATGAAAATGTCATGACTTCATGAGCTTATATCTTCAAATTTAAGCATTTTTTGGACATCAAACCTCTAATAAAAAGTTGTAGAATCCGTAAAGATCTACAACTTCCATGTTGAAAGTTTCCTTTGAATCATTTTGCATCATGGTGAAAAATCGGTATGAAGTTATGAAATAAACATGTTTAAAACACTTATAAAAGTTTCTGTCTTGGAAAATTTGACTTTTCAAATTGACTTTTGACTTTCTTGACTTCTTGATGATCAAGTTTGATATTCTTTAATGTCTTGATGAATTTTTATCTTTGAAACTTAATGTTGACCAAAAAGTCAAAGTTTGACTTTTGGTGTATTAGTTGACTTTTTCATCAGTTAACCAAATTTCATCTATCAATCCAGTGATCTTGAGAAATGCTTTGAGCCATGAAATTAGGTCAAAATTATGTCCTTGAATCCTTGATAACATGTTTCAAACCAATAAGTCATGTATTAAGTCAAAAGTCAAGAATCAATCATTCTCAGTAAAAACACTAATTTTGACTATTTTGCCCTTTTGGTGATTTGAACAATTTTCCTGGGGAATTGTGATCCAAACTTGATCAATTGATACACATGACTTAAAAATGTTGATATTGGTCCAAAATCTTGAAATTTGACTGTAGGTTGACCACAATTGACTTTTTACCCAATACTGTTGATTTTATATTATCTTGTCAATTGACTGAGCAATTTTGTGATCCAAGACTTGAAACTTGACAAGAGAAATCTTGAGGGTCCATAATGATCCATAAAATCAATTTGAAGTATTAAAAGTCCATTTGTCTTTGTGCGAATTCACACCCTAATTTGAGGTATTAGTATTGAGGAGATGGCTTGACCTAGTCGACCCTTGTGCGAGTTTGAGCTTTTGAAGATCTTGTGGGAAATGTCTTGAGAAATGAGAGGAAACATTTTGGGGTACAACAATTAATAATTAGGATTGTACGTCAATACTAAAATCAACTGATAGAAAAACCCTAATTTCAAGATAAACATAGCTGAATCAAACACATTTTGTACACTTACACTATTGTACCCCAAAGTTTTCCCTCCCATTTTCTTCAAGATATTCTTCTAGGGTTCTCAAATGCTCAAGGACTCTCAAGAGTTGATCAGACAAACTCACCTCCTAAGCAATGGGTCCACAACTAGGGTTTCATCCTGCTCAAGAAAGATTGGATTTCAAAGGTCTACAATGGTTTGCATGGTTCTTCATAGGTCTTAAACAAGGGCTCATGTCAAGTTTCAAGTCTTGCATCATAAGTTTGCTCAGTCAATTGCTCAGATGATTGAAAATCAACTGTATTGGGTAAAAAATCAACTATGGTCAACCTACAATCAAACTTCAAGATTTTTGGTCAACATCAACATTCTGAAGGGATATTCATCATTTGATCAAAGGTTGATCATGATTCCTCAATTAAAGTCCTCAAATCATCAAAAGTCCAAAGTTGCCAAATTATGGTTTCCTTAGAAGAAGTCAACTGAACTTTGACCAAGCATAACTTTCACATGTTTCATCAACTTTTCCCAAACCAAGGCCCATTTTAAAGGAAATTCAATTATCTACAACTTTGTATTTATGTTTAAGTCTAAGAAGTGCTTCATTTGAGAGATATGAGCCAATACATTACAAGTCATTTCAAAAGTCAACAAAAAGACACTTTTTGTCAAGGAAACTTACATCAATATAAATCTTCAAATGCAAAAATGATAAAAAGAGAGATTGTAAAGGACTTCTTGATCTTTCCAAAAAG